TGCTTTATAAATACTTCTAATAAACCTATTTGGACATGTTACAAAATACCTCCAACACAGTTGGGATTTGAACCCAAATTTTCTGGCTCAGACATAGGGACACTATTATTTACCAGAACAGCCTGAATCATTGATTTGTGCCCATCTAATGGAATGCACAAGTTCAATGATAATTCTTTGCTCTGTACTTTTGGATATAAAGCCAAGGATTCAGTTTTCCAAATGTAATTGTCGTATTTATTGTACAACTTAAATAATCTGTTTTACATGCAGATCGAGGTCCCTTTCTTCCTCTCCGTTTTAAATGTTACTTAATTGAGGCGCACTTTAGTTTTCTTGCTTCCACATCCGTTTTTCACATTTTTCTACTCTGTGCAATCTGTGGCTAATTTATGTCCTCCATCAGGTCTTGTCAAATCTACCACACATTTCAATTTGCGATTGTCAGCATATTTTGACATTGTCCCTTCAATTCTCAATCCACATAATTTAAGTCTGATAATTAATGCTTGTGGTAAATATAAGAGTAACCAAAACACAAATTCCAATGGAATTCTATTCATCATACGTCTCCAATATGACAGACTTTATTTCCCCCTACTCTTTTGCATTCTTTCTTGCAGCCACCTTCGGTGTAGTTGACCACATTCCCTCTAAGTTAGTTACAAATGAATTTAACTTGCTTAGATGTTACTTTATCAAATGTTTTTTGGAAAATTCACCTAAACCAGATAACCATTTGCTTTGACTATCCTCTGTTATATAGAAAGTTTTCTCATTCGCAATTTGCCTTTTAGATCTCTGCGTGAGCAGGACTTAATTAGCTCTTGTTTCTGCAAGTGTTTCAATGTTAACAAAATGTGCTGGGTTACCTCTTTCTGTGCATAACCTTCCTATAGTTCTGTGTTGTTTAATTCCAAACCATTGTTACATGCTTCGGTATTTCAGTAACAACTGAAGTAAGACTAACTGATCTAAATTTATTTCATTTTCACCTTTTTTTTATGAAAAAGAGCATTTGATTCAACACCTTCCAGTCCTTGGGCACTTTTTTTCCCTTTCCAGTGGAGATCTGTAAAATTATGGTCTGTGCTTCAATCATTATTTTCCTTGACTCCCTTCTGGGTTTCTGGTGTTTTTATCAGCAGTTAGTGATCTATCTATTTGGAGTTTGACAAGTTTTATAATAACGCTTATCTTTGAATAATAGCCTATGGCAACATTCTTTAAGGTGATTCTAAAGTTTTGATGTTATTTTCTGTGAACACTGAGATAATAAAGATTGTCCCCCCCATCTCTTGGCTTTACTTCCACTATGGCTCTTCTCTTACCACTGAAGTACCAGTAGAAAATCCTTCTACTTTTCTTCAATAGGTTTAGTTTAACCTATTACAAACAATCTCTTCTCTAATGATGCCAGACAAGAGATATTGCTGGATACTCCACTACTTTGGAGTATTAAGATCAGTGATGCAATTCTTTCTCGTAATTAAATGTACTTAGTCTCCAAATGATAATCAATGCTTTTCTCAAAATAAAATTGTCATTTAAAAGAAAGTTACTGTCTTTGCTAGGGTGAAAATTTACAAGATCTGTCAATTCTTAGTTTTCGGACATTCCCATTTTCGTCACTCCGTAATTGGCTATGCCTTCAGCTGATTGGGTCTGAAATTCCCTCCCTAAATCTCAGCGTCTTTCTTCCATGGTTCTGTCCTTATAAGAAATGCTTGAAAACCTATGTTTGTGACAAAGATTTTGTCTGCCTGTCCTTATAATTTCTTAAAATGGCACCGTGCCAAATTGATCATGTTCACTAAAAGAAAACCAGAGAACTGCAGATCCTGTAAATCAGAAACAAAAACAGAAATTGCTGGAAAAGCTCAGCAGGTCTGGCAGCATTTGTGGAGAGAAATCAGAGTTACCGTTTTGGGTCGAGTGACCCTTCCTCAGAATGGTTAATTGATTTTTCTCCAGACCTGAACTTTTCCAGCAATTTCTGTTTTTGTTTCTTATCACGATCACTGCTGCTGTGTGGCACATTAATTTGCTTTACTTTTTAAAATTGCTGTATAAATGCAATCTATTGTATTTGTAGGAATTTTGTTTCGGATTAAGACCTTTTTGAAATTTTGCTCGAAATGCAATTTATATTAATCTGGTCTTTTTCTGTCTTTACCTCCCTCTTGCTTTACATTTTACTTCATTTTCACAAGCAGTAGAGATAGGAAAAAGTTATTTGTTTCTTTCTTGGGGAGAGGGGCGGTGGGCGTCAAGTTGGTCTTCTTTTTCTCCTTTGCTTGGCTTGGCTTGCTTCAGTCAAGCAGGCAGTGATCAATTTTTGCTTAGTATTCAACGGCAGTTGGTAATTATCTGCTTGGAGAAGTTGAATTAAAAATTTCTGTCCAAGGTGATGTTCCTGTTCTTTACAATGATGTTTCAAAGCTGTAATTTTTTTATTTTTCTTTTAGGCTCCTATTATATGGTCCTGCTAACTAACAACGGCTTCTTCTGGGTTTCATGTCTTCAGCTTGCCAAGCTTCATCAAGGTAGAAAAGCATTTAAATGGTTTTTTCATTAAGATTCCAATGCATTTTAGAAAGGAACAAAAATATGGAGAGAAAGTGAGGAAAGGTGCAAGAGTTTTGGAAAGGAGTTCTGGCAGATATGATTTAAGAGTCTTTCACTCAAAGTGGTGGTGTGATGCACATAGGACTACAATTGGAGGACTAATATAAATGGCAAGAGCTTGTGTTTGTATAACACTGCTAATATAATGAAGCATCCCAAAGATAAAATAAAGTATGATACCAAGCTGCATAAGTAGGTATTAAGTCAGATCAGCAATAGCTTGATCAAAGAGAGAGATTTTAAGGCATACCATGAACAGGAAACTGACGTAGGGAAATTGTGCAGGGAGGATATTTTGGTGCTTGGGACTTGGCGCATTGAAGACATTACCACCAATGATGCAGTTGAGCGCGATGCACACAAGGTCACAATTGGAGGATATCTTGGATTGGAGAAGATTGGACGTAGGAGGAGTGAAGCCATGGAAGGATTTGAAACAAGGATGAATGTTTTGAAATCAAGTCATTGCTTGACTGAGAGCCAAGGTAGATTAGTGAGTACAGACGTGATAGGGAAATATGCAGTGGACTATGATCTGGACAGCAGAGTTTAGGATGCCCTCAAGTTTTCAACTGGTGAGACATAGGAGATTAGTCAGGAGAACTTTCAAATATTTGAGTCTGGAGATATTGTAGGCACAGATGAGGGTTTCAGCAGCAGATGAGCTAATACAGGCTAAGTCAGGTGATGTTACAGAGCTAGAAAGACACAGTTAGTGATGACACAAGTAAGGTTGAATGCTCATTACGGGATGAAATATGACACCAAGAGTGTGAACTGACTGGCTTAGTCTTCAGCTGTTGTCAGGAAGAGGAGTGGATTCTCTTGCTAAGAAGTAGGGGGCAGCACTGTGGCTCAGTGGTTAGCACTGCTGCCTCACAGTGCCAGAGACCTGGGTTCAATTCGGGCGACTGTCTGTGTGGAGTTTGCACATTCTCCCCGTGTCTGCGTGGGTTTCCTCCACGTGCTCCGATTTCCTCCCACAGTCCAAAGATGTGCAGGCTAGGTCGATTGGCCATGCTAAATTGCCCATAATGTTCAGGTGGGTTAGGTGGGTTATAGGGGGAATGGGTTTGGATGGGATGCTCTAAGGGTTGGTGTGGATTTGTTGGGCCAAAGGGCCTGTTTCCACACTGTATGGATTCTATGGAAGAAAAACAGAGTTTGGATCTGGGACCAAAAACAGTGGTCCCTGATAATTAGCAGTCGGGGAAAAGTGAGTGTAGAATATGTGGTTTCATTCTTCCCAGTATTAAGCTGGAGGAAACTGCATCATCATTATTTAATGTCAAACAGGCTCTCAACATCTGATTGACTGTGAGGTTGAGAGCATTTATTAATAAAGGAGATCTGGGTGTCAACACATTATGTGTATAAATGTGGATGATAGCAGAAATGGGTAGCATGTAAATAAGAGCATTTTGGGTGATTCCAAATATCCAGACTGACAAAAAAATCTATTTTTATAGAAGTTCTATGTATACCCATACAGAAACAATTTAAAGAAAATCTAATGGAACTTAAAATAGATGGTCTTTTATAAATTTGCAAAGGGCTTTCTTATTATTCTTGAAGTGGCAGAAGTTGGACTAGAGGGATTGAAATGAATTTTTGGGCAATGGACACGGAAAAAATATTTATGACATTCCAAAGGCGAATATTTGTCATTCCATTTATAATACTCATGTGAACCTTTAAAAGGTTTGTTGAACAATGTAAAGACTTATCTTTCATTCTGGTTGTCATCCCTATGTAAATATGCTTCAAAGTAAAGTGCACAATATTTTACTCTGAATTTAAAGATGTAAATCTGTTTTTGGATAAGTCGTTGTTCTCAAGAATGCAATGTTTTTGCAAATTCATCTGATTTCAAGTGGTATCTAGTTATATCAAATTGACTCTTAGTTCAGTTTACACTTCCTGTGCCATGTTGTTGTCTCACTTTCTAGTCACATCTGATCGTTTATTTTCAATATTTCAGTTTGTTTGAATTCTAGCTGGCTCTTTCTACTCCCACCCCAGTTCTGTTGTTCCCTTTCCCTGTCTCAACTCAAGCCTTTAATTTTACTATTCATTCATGGAATGTAGGTGTCGCTGGTAAATTCAGCAAATGTTGCCTATCTCTATTATCCTTGAAAAGTGATGGTGAACCACCCTTTTAAACCACCGCAGACCATATGGTGAACATTTTTCCACAGTTCAGTTAGATATCTGAGCTTGGCGTGGGGCTTCTTGCCGAAAGGTGTTAGAGAAGAAGGTGCCTGTCGACATCAGCTTGTTGGACGAGGATGTTGAGTCAAGGAGTTCTCCGCTGAAGACTTGCCTGGTTTAGATGAAGATGCCCATGTCTGGGAAGATAATGAAGATGATGACAATGTTAATGATGATTTTTCTAACCAGTTAAGAACTGAATTAGAAAAAATTGGATACAAGATGGAAACATCATTGGTGAAGTTCTGAAGGACAAGAATGTTTTGAAGATGTAGAAGAAAGAATTCTGCATTAATGTTTAAATGATTTGTGGCAAATGCAACACTGGAACATGAAATGTTATTGAACATCCTTAGCAAAGTGGGTCACAATCTGTTTTTGTGAATTTTCCTTTTTTATTTCCATAATAAATTGTTTTGGAATGTAAAAGAAAAAGGAGTTTCAACATTTTGATTCATTGATAATGAAGGAGTGCAGTAAAATGCTAAGTTAAATGGCGTGTGACTTGTAAGAAGAACCTGCAGCAGGAGGTGTTCCCATGCACATTTTGCCTTAGTCTTTGTGGATGCTTCAGGTTTGCAGGCTACTGTTGAAGAAGCCTTGTCAAATTGCTGCAGTGTTTCTTATAGATAAATGCTAAAGTGTAATGAGTTGTTGGGTATCTGATTGTTTAGGATAACAAATGTGTTGCCAGTTACTGGCCTGCTTTGATTTGAAAATTGTTGAACATCTTGAGTGCTATTGGAGCTGTATTCATGCAGGCAAGTGAAGAGTCTTCCATGACATCCTGATTTCTGACTTGAATATGGTAGACAGACTTTGGAAAATCATAGAATCCTGACAGTGTGGAAACAGGCCCTTCGGCCCAACAAGTCCATACCGCCCCTCAGAGCATCCCACCCAGACCCATCCCTCATAACCCACCTAATCTACACATCCCTGAACTCTATGGGCAATTTAGCATGGCCAATCCACCTTGTCTGGATATCTTTGGACGTGTAGGAGGAAACCGGAGCACCTGGAGGAAATCCACACAAACACGGGGAGAATGTGCAAACTCCACACAGACAGTCACCCGAGGGTGGAATCGAACCCGGGTCCCTGGCGCTGTGAGGCAGCAGTGCTAACCACTGAACCACAGTGCCACCCCAGACCTGCTGAAATTTTCCAGCAATTTCTGTTTTTGTTTAACAAAATTTGATCAGAACTCAAACTGTTAAGTTTGCGCAAGACCTGGCTGAGAACCTATGTCAGGAAACATTTACAGATTAAGGATACAACTTCGCTTCTGATCTCTTAATGAAGCAGCTGATTCAGTCACCAGTGGTTGTAGGAAAAGGCTTGGGCTCAGGCTTGATGGGTGAAATTAGTTAAGAGAAATTCATCTAGATTGGCTCAATATTTTTCAATTTGGAAATGGCTGCTTGACTGAAGTCCTAATAAAATACGCAGATGTCATCCAGGAAGATCTAGGGACTATCAAAGGAACCAAGGCCACCTTGCATGTTGACCAGGGAGCAATTTCATGATTCTGCAAGGCCCACCCAATGCCATTTGCTCTACGGGAAAAAGTAGGGGCCGAAATCAGAAGACTTGAAAGTGAAGGAATCATCGCACCAATCCAATTTGCGGAATGCACAGCAGCAGTTGTACCAATTTATTTTTCCCTTTTTGGAGCCGTTCGCCTTTGTGAAGATTTTAAACAAATATTAAACCACCTTTTGCATCTGGATAAGTACCCAATTTCCCGGATAGAGGATTTATATATAAAGCTGGCAGGGGGGCTGTCCTTCACGAAGCTGGACATGCACCATGCTTTCTCACAGTTGCGGTTTGGTGAGGATTCCCAGAGGTATATTGCAATTAAAACCCGTAAGGGTTTGTACCAGTATACAAGACTGCCATTTGGGGTATCGTCAGCCTGTTCAATTTTTCAGTGGAAAATGGAGAACATTTTGCAAGGTCTACCTCAGGTCGCCATTTATTTAGATGATGCGCTAATAACAGGGAGGACTAAAAAGGAATACTAAGAGAACTTGGACATAGTCCTTGCACGTTTTTCTGAGGCGGACATATGCCTAAGGAGGGAAAAATGGAAGTTCCAGGCCCCGCCCCAAGTGATATACTTGGACTACAGAGTGGACAAAACCGGGTTACACCCATTGGAAGATAAAGTGAGGGTGATCAAAGGCGCTCCACCTCCTACGTCTGATCAGGAGTTTGGGTCATTTCTTGAACTGGTAAATCATTATGGAAAGTTCATACACAACTAGCCTCCATACTGCCACTTTTGTATTAACTCCTAAAAAGGGGTCTGCCTTGGAAATGGTTGTGTAACCAAGCCATAGCTTTCAGAGAAGTGAAGAAACAGCTATCAACTCTAAGGTGTTGGCACACTATGATTCCAAGCAAGATCTGGTATGACATGCGATGCCTCCCTGTACAACATTTGGGTGGTATTAGCTCATATGTGACCCAATGCCTAATAGTATATGCATCCTCTGCTAGGTCTGCTTAAAGAGGACGAAATGGTGCTGCCCATAGCTTCAGGCCAAATTCGATAGTGGGATCTAATACCAAGTGCCTATAATTACAAGTTAGAACATGGTCTGCGAGACCTGGTAACCAATGCGGATGCATTTAGCTGTATCCCATTGGCAAATACATCACCGATGGTACTACCAATGGAAGAGTCTATAATGGTTGTAAATTTTCTGTACACACTTCCAGTCACAGCTCACAGCAACTGCCAACATCATCAAAGACACATCCCACCCCTGCAATGCTCTCCTACAACCTTTCCATCAGGCAGAAGATAGATAAGCTTGAACATGTGCACCAGCAGGTTCAAGAACAGCTTCTTCCCTGCTGTGCTGACTGATGAATGGACTCTCTAACTTCTAACAATGCTGATCTTGCTAATGTTGATCTTGCATAGCGCATGCTCTGTGCGATGTAACCTGTATGCCTCTGTCCTAGTTTTTTTTTCACCCTATGATCTGTATGTCCTTGCTTACTATGATCTGCCTGTACTGCTCGTAAACAAAGCTTTTCACGGTATTTAGGTATATGTGATAATAAATCAAATCGAAGAAATATCCGGTCCTGGCAAAACTGAAACAACTGGTGGTGATGGGGGAAACCAATCACTGTCACAACCAGAACTGAAATCATTTTGGACCCAGAGAGACCAGCTCACAGTAGAAGAAGGCATATTGTTATGGGAGCACGAGTGACTCCCCGGAACAAGGGTCACTGCCAGATACTGGTTGAACTCCACCAGAGTCATCCAGGGGTTTCCAAAATGAAGATGTTGGTGAGAAGTTATGTCTGGTGGCTAGGATTGGATGCCAACAGAGCCACATTGGTGGGACAGTGCCCAGTGTGCAACAAGGACAAAATTTACTGTCAGTATCTCCCCCACATCCATTGGAATGACCAGGTAAACCCTGAACTCAGTTACATGTCAACTATGCAGGTCCTTTCATGGGCTCAATATTCTTCGTCATTGTAGGCGCCCACTCAAAGTGGCTGGATGTGCATAGAGTCTATTTGTCAAATGGGGACAACAATTGCAAATCTGCGTGCATCTTTTTTGAAAGCCGGACTCCCGGAAGTGCTGGTCACAGATAATGGACCATCGGTTACCAGCAGGGAATTTGAGAATTTCCTAAAGTTGAATGGGATTTGACAAACAAGGACAGGTCCAAAACATCCATCAAGTGATATAAAGAGCAATCCAAAGGCAGGCTACAACCTCACTAGATATCAAGCTGTCATAGTTCTTATTTGATTATAGACCCACCCCACATGCAACTGCAGTGCTAGCTCCAGTAGAGTTGTTAATGGGGAGAAGACCATGCACTGGGTTAAATCTGATCTTTCCGGACCTGGGGGAGAGGAGGAGGAGGAAATGGCATCAGGAACGCAATTGCTAGACCCAGGTGTCCAGCCAACGAGAGAAATGGTTTATGACAGGGGATGAAGTTTGTAAGAACCACGGAAATGGCCCTTCATGGGTTAGAGACATGGTCGACGCGAGGTCAGCACCAGTGATGTATAAAGTTTGGGTCAGTGCGACGGTTTTGAACAAGCATGTGAACTACATGAAAGCCGCAAATTCTCAAATGGTACAGGAACAAAATGTGCCCTGCTCCTCAGAATAGTTGGAAATGAACAGGAACTGTGGGTTCAATGTCTCCGGTAAGCATGGACAAGACTTCTGAATCTAAGCTGGATGTTATTGATGTTGCCGCATCAACGCCATTGGTGGCAGAAGAAGAGAGTGCATTCCTACAGAGGTGTTCCTGGCACAAGAGGTGATCTCCTGTGCGTTACATGCTGCCCATATCGGACGCTGAATCAGAAGCACCTGATCTAGTGCTAAAATGTCCCAGGAGGCTCTCCAAGAAAAATGACTGGCCAATGTCATTGGACTAAGTGGGAGGAATGTAGTGATTGTAACAACGCGAGCCAGCTGGTCAACATAAAATATGAGTTCCCTGATTGGGGCTGTTAATCTGTTCCAATGAGGGAGACCTGGCTGACAGAAGTAAAGAGGAGTGTTAGAGAGCCTAACACCCTGGATGTTGACTCTGATGAGGCTGTGCCAGAGTCAAGGACTTTTCACATGAAAATAAAGGGTGACTTCGTGACGAGACACTGGCCTCTCTGGAATTATTTCATTAAGGTTGTATGTTATAGAGTCATACAGCATGGAAACAGACCCTTCTGTCCAACCAGTCCATGCTGAACATAATCCCAAACTATACTAGTCCTACCTGCCTGCTGCTGGCCCATATCCCTCCTAACTTTTCCTATTCATGTATCTGTCCAAATGTCTTTTAAACATTTAATTGTACCCACATCCACCACTTCCCCAGGAAGGTTATTCCATATGCAAACCACCCTCTTAAAAAAAATTTGCCTCATGTCTTTTTTTTTTAAATCTCTCTCCTCTCACTTTAAGAATGTGCCCCTAGTCTTGAAATTCCCCATCCTAGGGAAGGAAAAGACAACTGCCATTAACTCTATCTATACTAATTATTTTATAAACTTCTATCAGGTCGCCTCTCCACCTCCTACGTTCCAGTGGAAAAAGTCCCAGCCTATCCAGCCTTTCTTCATAACTCAACCCTTCAATACCCGGCAACATCCTCGTAAATCTGTTCTGAACCCTCTCCAGCTTGATGATGTCTTTCCTATAACTGAGCAACCAGAACTGGACACAGTATTCCAGAAGAAGCCTCACCAATGTCCTGTACAACCTCAACGTGACTTCCCAACTCCTATACTCAAAGGACTGAGCAATGAAGGCAAGCGTGCCAAACGCCTTTTCAACCACCCTGTCTATATGTGACGCAAACGTCAAAGAATGATGTACCTGCACCCCTAGGTCTCTCTGTTCTACAACACTAGCCATGGCCCTACCATTAATTATATAAGCCCTACCCTTGCTTGTTTTACCAAACTGCAATTCCTATTTGAACAAGATCCCTTTGTAATCTTAGAAAATCTTCTTCACCATCTACTATGCATGAATTTTGGTGTCGTCCGCAAACGTACTAACCATGCCTTCTATATTCTCATCCAAATCATTTATATAAATGACAAACAAAAGAGGACCCAGAACCGATCCCTGTGGAAAGTAAATCTTTCCTTCTCATATTTCCTGACTGCTTAAAAGTAACAGCTATGGGAGAAACTGATAAAATTGAAAGCAATGGTTCTAGAGACCCCATTTTCTTGACTGCAAACAAGCTGAGCTGTGCATTAAATTTGTTTTGATTGTCAAGAATTATTTTCACAGTGTGGTGAACAGTATTACTGAGCATTTTAGTTTCTGTGAATTTATTTTGGAAAATCTAAGTATTAATTGTTCCAAGTGAAATAGAGAGGAGGTGAAGAGAAGCTCTGCAGTGTTCTTTCGACTTGAAGCCCTGCTCCAAAACCTTGCAGCCCATGAGCAATATTCTGTTATCATACTGTTGCCATTCTCTCTATGCACTCCATGCCTCCTCCAATAAGTCTTGAGATGCATGTTTCATAAGCCCTTCCCAAAGTTTTGAGCATTATTTTTACGGTGGAAATGCATAAATGGAAACTGAAGATGCGGGAGAAACAGAGTCTGCCTGATAGTTTAAAAGGACTGTGGGTGAGTAGTGGTGGGTACATCTACAGCTGAGCCCCATATTCTTCTGTCCTGTTCTTTTCTGCCCATCCCCACTCCGTTCCTATGTTCCCATAATTTGTGACTAGAAATTCATCTTGGGTCATTGTGAATGAATGCTAGCCCTGTACCCCTGACCCCATAACTCTGAATGCTTTCAGATATCAATAACTTTTCAATGCTTTTGAAACCTAGAATCTTCTTCAAATTATTCCTCATACTTGACTTCCAAATTCATGCCACCATATCTTGGGTTTTCTATCCCAGTTCTTGTATACCTTAGGCTTCCATCTATGCTTGTGACTCACTGTTCATCATAGTGTTGTTAGGAATTAGATCTGTTGTTTCATTTAATCTGCTACTGATTTAATATTTCTGTCTCATTAATTGTTTATCATTTCTGTTTTTCTTCGTTACAGCAATTGAGATGATGGACTTTGATACAACAAAAGCAGTAAGACCTCAAAACTTTTAATGCCATAATGCTACCTCATAATCCCACAGGAAAATCAGCTGTGACACCTGTTTTACAACTTGTTTTTATCTCTTTAGCTAAAGGAACAGATCAAGATCAAATATGTTCAGACTGACGATAAACACACAGATGGCTGTAACCATGCAGTGATTGACAGTTCCAAATATGTGAAACTGCTAGTTGGGGTAAGTGGTTTCCTTCAAAATGATTTGACATTTTTTTGCAAAATCTAAATCATGATTTTTAATACTAGTATTGAGAATGGGTTTTTCACTGCTGAAATAAAATTACCTAAGGACAAATGTGTTCTGTGTAAATGAGAAGACTTCAGTATATAGTTATAACGATATAATAATATTCATCAGTAATTCAGGGTATATAACACAATTTTAACAATTTAACGATTAAAGATTTAACAATTAAAATGGAGTCTTATTTGATCTGATTTGTTCTAGTTAAGAGCACCATTTAAGGTCTTTTTCATGGATAAAAGATCTAAAGCAGCAATTCTTGATAATTGTAATAAATTTACAGTTCTTACATTAAGTTTGTGGGCAATTTAAGTTGCTTATTCACTTCTGAATTCAAATGAGAACCCTATTTAAAATCACTGTGTGCAATTCTAGTCTCCCTGCTATAGGAAGCATGTTGTGAAACTTGAAAGGGTTCAGAAAAGATTTACAAGGATGTTGCTAGGGTTGGAGGGTTTGAGCTATAGACAGAGGCTGAATAGGCTAGGGCTATTTTTCCTGGAGCATCAGAGGCTGAGGTGTGACCTTATAAAGGTTTATAAAATCGTGAGGGGCATGGATAGGTTGAATAGCCAAGGTCTTTTCCCTGGGGTGGGCAAGTCCAAAACTAGAGGGCATAGGTTTAAGATGAGAGGAGAAAGATTTAAAAAGGACCGAAGGGGCAGCTTTTTCACACACAGGGTGGTGTGTGTATGGAATGAGCTGCCAGAGGAAGTGGTGGAGGCTGCCACAATTGCAACATTTAAAAGGTTTTCTGGATGGGTATATGAATAGGAAGGGCTTAGAGGGATATGGGCCAAATGCTGGCAAATGGGACTAGATTAATTGAGGATATCTGTTTGGCATGGACGAGTTGGAACGAAGGGTCCGTTGCCGTGCTGTATGACTCTATGACACTGTGCAATTGAACTTTGGGAAGGATTCTCCAAATCATGCACTGTAACTGTGGTGGAAGATCAGCAGATATTCTTTGCACTATTACATTATTAAAAGCAAACTGTTAAAACTCCACAGATGTTTAGCCATTTTGATTTACAAGAGTTGGCTTACCTCAGTGACCAAATGTGAAGGATTTACGCTAACCAAAAGACATCTTTTATACATCACAAGCAGAAGAGAATTTCAGGAAAAACAGTTTGTGTTGGATGTTCTGACTAATGAGAATATCTTCTCTATTTGAATGCTAAAGTGTTTGTACAACTGTCTTTTTTGTTGTCAGTATTTTGTTAAAAATAGAGACACTTGATTTTCTTTCTGCAATGCAAAAGCTCAGTACCTGAATATGTTCCCAGAGTACACTTGCTACTTTGAAACAAAATGTTTGGGCTGACAAGTGGCAAGTAACATTTGCGCAACACAAAAGCCAGGTAATGACAATCTCTAATAAGACACAATCTAACCGCCATCCCTCGACATTCAATGGTGTTACCATAACTGAATCTCCCACTACCAAAATCCTTGTGGTTACTGCAGATCCAGATACTCAATTGGACTCGCCACATAAATACTGTGGCTACAAGAGGGGAAGCGATGACCTAGTGGCATTATTGCTGGATCATTAATCCAGAGACCCAGCTGATGTCTGGGGGCCTGGGTTTGAATCCTGCATGGCAGATGATTGAATTTGAATTCATTAAAAATCTGAAACTAAGAGTCTAATGATGACCGTGTATCCATTATCGATGGAAAAACATGTCTGGTTCATGAGTTTCCTTTAGGGAAGGAAACTGTCATCCTTACCTGGTCTGGCCTATATGTGATGACAGACCTACAGCAATATGGTTGACTCTTAACTGCCTTCCAGGCAATTAGGGATGGCCTAATGGGGATAGACAATGGCCTCGTTGTATTATCGCTAAACTATTAATCCAGACACTGGGCTGATGTTCTGGGGGCCCGGGTTTGAGTCCCGCCACCCGCCACAGCAGGTGGCGGAATTTAAGTTCAATAAAAAAAATCTGGAATTAAGAATCTACTGATTACCATGAAACCATTGTTGATTGTCAGAAAAACCCATCTGGTTCACTAATGTCCTTCAGGGAAGGAAATCTGCCACCCTCACCTACATGTGACTCCAGACCCACAGCAATGTGGTTGATTCTCAATTGCCCTCTGAAATCGCCTAACAAGCCATTCAGTTGTACCAATTGCTACAAAGTCTGAAAGAAATTAAACTGGACGGATCACCTGGCATCGACCTAGACACCAGAAAAGACTAAGGCAGAAACAGCCCTGCGACCCTGCAAAGTCCTCCTCACTAACATCTGGGGTTTAGTGCCAAAATTGGGAGAGCTATCTCACAGACTAGTTAAGCAACAGCCTGATGTAGTTATACTCGCGGAATCATTCCTTACAGACAATGTCCCAGCAACAGCCATCACCGTCCCTGGATATGTCCTGTCCCACCGACAGGACAGACCCAGCAGAAGTGGCGGCACAGTGGTACACAGTCGGGAGGGAGTAGCTCCTCAACATTGACTCCAGTTTCAGGTTAAACATGGGCAAGGACACCTCCTGCTGATTACCACGTACTCTCCTCCCTCAGCTGATGAATCAGCACTCCTCCATGTTGAACAACACTTAAAGGAAGCACTGAGGATGGCAAGGGCACAAAAGTATTCTGGGTGGGGGATTTCAATACCCACCACACAGAATGGCTTAGCAGCAGTACTACTGGTCGAGCTGGTCGGGTCCTAAAGGACATAGCAGCTAGACTGGGTTTGCGGCAGGTGGTGAGAGAACTAACAAGAAGGAAAAACATACTTGACCTCATCCATACTGATCTGCCAGCTGCAGTTGCATCTGCCCATGATGGTATCTGTAAGAGTGACCACCGCACAGTTCTTGTGGAGATGAAGTCCCGCCTTCACATTGAAAATAACTTCCATCGTGTTGTGTGGCACTATCACCGTGCTAAATGGGACAGACTTTGCACAGATCTAGCAACTGAAGACCGGGCATCCATGAGGCGCTGTGGGCTATCAACAGCAGCAGAACTGGACTCCAGCACAACCTGTAGGCTCATGGTCCGGCATATCCCCCATTCAACCATTACCATCAAGCCAGGGGATCAACCCTGGTTCAATGGAGAGTGCAGGAGGGCATGCCAGGAGCAGCACCAGGCATACCTGAAGATGAAGTGTGAACCTGGTGAAGCCACCAAACAGGACTACTTGCACACCAAACAGGATAAGCAGCAAGTGATAGACAGAGCTAAGTGATCCCACAACTAATGTATCAGATCTAATCTCTGCAGTTCGGCCACATCCAGTCGTGAATGGTGGTGGACGATGAAACAACACACTGGAGGAGAAGGCTCCACAAATATCTCCATTATCAATGATGGAAGAGCCCAGCACATCATTGCAAAAGATAAGGCTGAAGCATTTACAGCAATCTTCAGCCAGAAGTGCCGAGTAGATGATCCATCTCGGCCTCCTCCAGTGGTCCCCAGCATTACAGATACCAGTCTTCAGCCAATTTGATTCATCCCACATGATATCAAGAAATGGTTGGAGACACTGGATACTGCAAAGGCTGTGGGCCCTGACAACATTCAGCAATAGTACTGAAGACTTGTGCTCCAGAACTTGCCACTCCCCTAGCCAAGCTGTTCCAGTACAGTTACAACACTGGTATCTACCTGGCAATGTAGAAAATTTCCTAAGTATGTCCTGTACACAAAAAGAAGGACAAATCCAATCTGGCCAATTACCGCCCCGTCGGTCTACTCTCGATCATCAGTAAAGTGATAGAAGGTATCCTCAACAGCACTATCAAGCAGCACCTGCTCAGTAATAACCTGTTGAGTGATGCCCAGTTTGGGTTCCACTCCGCTCCTCACCTCATTACAGCCTTGGTTTAAACATGGACAAAAGAGCTGAATTCTAGAGGTGAGGTGAGAGTGACAGCCCTTGACATCAAGGCTGCATTCGACCCAGTGTGGCATCAAGGAGTCCTAGCAAAACTGAAATCAATGGGTATCAGGGGGCAAACTCTCCTGTGGTTGGAGTCATACCTGATACATAAGAAGATAGTCGTGGTTGTTGGAAGTCAATTATCACAACTCCAGGACATCTCTGCAGGAGTTCCTCAGGGTGGTGTCTGCAGCCCAGCCATATTCAGCTGCTTCATCAATGACCTTCACTCCATTATAAGGTCTGAAGTTGGGATGTTCGCCAATTATTACATAATGTTCAGCACCATTCGCAACTCTTCAGATACTGAAATAGTCCATGTTCAAATGCAACAATATCTGGACCATACCCAGGCTTGGGCTGACAAGTGGCAAGTAACATTTGCGCCACAAAGTGTTCAGGGAGGTGTAGATTAGGTGGGTTATAGGCGGATGGGTCTGGGTGGGATGCTCTGATGTTCGGTCTGGACTTGTTGGGCCGAAGGGCCTGTTTCCACACTGTAGAGATTCTATGATAATTCTATGATAATTCACGCAAATGCCAGGCTATGACCGTCACAAATGAGGGACAATGTAACCACTGTCCCTTGGCATTCAGCGGTGTTACCATCACTGAATTCCCCCACTATCAATATCCTGGGGGTTAGCATTGATCAAAAATTCAACTGGACTCACCTCATAAACACAGTGGCTACAAGAGTAGGTCAGAATCTAGGAATACTGCGGCGGTAACTCACCTGACTCCTCCAAGCCTGTTCACTATCTACAAGGCACAAATCAGGAATGTGATGGAATACTCCTCACTTACCTGGATGACTACAGCTCCAACAACACACCAGAAGCTTGACACCATCCAGGACAAAGCAGCCCGCTTGATTGGCACTACATCCACAAGCACCCACTCCCTCCACCACCGATGCTCAGTAGCAGCAGTGTGTACTCTACAAGATGCGCTGCAGAAATTCGCCAAAAATCCGTAGACAGCACCTTCCAAGCCCACGGCCAGTTCCATCTAGACGTGCGATCAACAAATAGGTGGGAATACTACCACCTTCAAGTTCCCCTCCAAGGCACTGTGAGATCGTGTTCAAAGAACCAGATGACCAGGATCAGTGAGTGGTGAAAATAGCCTCTTTATTGTACGTTCACTGGGCCAGCATTTATTGCCTGTCCCTCATTGTCCTTGAGAAGGTGGCGATGTGAGGTGAAATAGAATCCCAAAATCATTGTTCAAAAGCAGCTGTTTTCATACAGATTTCAAGCATACATTAACATTCTAACACTTGAGTGTTAAGCAGTAGATATTGTTCAAAAACCGTTTTGCAGGAAATCAGAGATGGTTGAAACATGTGCTAAATGTTAGCGGTTATTGTTGAGTGTTAATGGTTATTTTAACGAGATTAGAGTGTTTGTGTGGTTTGTCCTTGCATAATTCAAAAGGTGTTAGTCTTGTTATCTTCAAGGTTAGAATTTTAAAGTTAGAAAACAGCATCTTGTGTTTTTTAAATAAAAGTCTGAGTTCCTATCAGCTTTGATTGTGGTTTTTATTTACTATCACTTGTTTAGTTATTTTCATGGTTGTGTCATCTGCGGGTTGTACTTACTACCATTCATTCATTCATTCAGTTTCGTGGTCACACCTGTTTTCAGTAGTGCTGTCAGTTTCATTCATTCATTCATTCAAGGTTGCACGGGTCTGGACATAGCGCTGTTAGTTTTATTGGTAGATTAAAGGTTGCTTACATACAGTGCATGGCATTTGTCAGTTTTATTAATGGGGTAAAGTTTTCTTATATACATGTTGAATAAAAACTTGGGACAAGTACCTGGCTGCATAATATACAGGAAAAGTCTGCAGGGAAGTAACATATTACTTTAAAGGAAGAGGGCTAATCCAATTATCACCTTTGACTAATACTTGGAGCTACTCTAGCTGGAGAGATAAATATAAAAGGGCTTGATCCTTAGGCAAAGATCCTTAGTCAGCACCTTCCAAACCCATGGCCACTTCCAACTAGAAGGACAAGGGCAGCAGATACAGACAACACGACTACCTGCGAGTTCCCCTCCAAGTCACTCTCCATCCTGACTTGGAAATATATTGTCATTCCTTCACTGTTGCTGGATCAAATCTTGGAATTCCCTTCGTTAAGGGCATGCGGGTCAACTTACATCATGTGGACTTCAGCAGGTCAAGATGGTAGCTCACCATCAACTTTTCAAGGGCGTCTAGGATCGGGCAATAAATGCTGGACAGACAGTGATGCCCACATCCCACAGATGAATTAAAAAAAGGAGTTATTACTATCTGTAGAAGAGAGGAGCATACTGGGATAAGCTATAACCATTTTATTGTTTGGTTACTTTTTGTCTTTTGCAGTTCTGTAGTAACATGCTTTTATGTCTCCACTTGGGTATAATGCCATGGTTGGAACTTTCTCCTCTCTTGAATTGGCAGGGTAATTCATACAATTGGCAAAAATTTGGGCAGGTTTCCAGCAGGGAGATGACCAACTGCTGCTGTCACTTTAGGAGCATTTCTGCTGCTCTAGGATTTGCTGCTGTTCATCCAGCAGCTGTGGCCTTTAAAGTGGCATTGCTCCACTCAGTGACTGCTGACCTTTTACTGGCAATTTCAGGCAGGGTGGGGTATTGCCATTCTGGGAAATTATTGACTAAGAAACCTGCCAGTTCTTCAACCTATGTATCTAATTGACACTTGATTTGGTGAGCTTTCTTATTGATTGGCTTGGCTAAAAAAAAGTGGAAATCATGCTCAATATAACAGAAATGAATGTATGACGTCCTCTTGTAATCTCAAACATAATTCTTGTGTTTTCAGGGCAACATTGTTTGACTTTATTGTTTTTGTTGACGTAGTTAATAAAACTGTTCAAAAGAGAGAAAAACTATTTTGTTCACGTATTATATTACAGGGCACAGGTGACTATGTATTATCAACATGGAACATATCTGCACTCAAGGACCTAGAAGTCAACAATGTGGTTGATTCATCCATAATGAAAGGTAAATGTGAAACTTGTCTGCCAAGAATCATCAGTTCAGCAAATCTTTGTTGGTATTGCTTTGTGATTTGTTAAAATATTTACAGGCCCTTTATATTGTGCAGCCTGTTATTTCTAGAGGTTGCTGCTGGTCCTGAGCTTTCTGATGCCTTTGTTCCTCAGTTTCTCTGCACCTTTGTTGTGCTCTGGCAACAGTAACCCTCGTTGTGGCTGAATCCTTAGGTTCATTTGGAATGTGACCAATCTGAAGCATTTCAGAGACAAAATAGGTCTGTAATAATGGGCACAGTTAGCATTTGTATTACAGACAAATGACTGTTCAACATAGACCTGAATATTGTGGGAGTTGGAGTACACCAAAAAGGAGAGCCTGTAAATGGACCTTTGACATAATGAACTTTATTTCAAGGTATGCCGCATAAGCCATGTCATGCAAATACATTAGGAGATTGGAAGTCCAGTAAGATTACTGAAACCTTTGCCCTCTCTCTTTCCCCCACTCCCCCAACATCATCCAAGAAAGGCAGTATTGCATATAAGGGCATGTTGTTACATACTCGTAATTCAAAGTGAAATGATATCTGTGCTGCGCCCTTGTGTAGCCTGAGACCTTCGATTCTGTTTGTAAATTGCGGCATTGAGGTGAAACGTTTAACATAAGTACTACGTTTAACATAAGTACTTCTGCTTCATAGACATGACAATGATCAATTTGTAATGTCTTCAAAATGGTAAAGATTGCTTATGGCCAGGGTTTGTATTTATCATATAGTTAAAAATTGTATGATTCATGTGCGGAATTCTGTGTTTATGCATGTCTTAAGCTGTAATGTGTAAGTACCAAATTAATGCAGTTGCTCCTTGAAGAACCTCATATCACTTACAAGTAGAGCCCGCTTCCTCAGCAGAAAAGTTATTTTACTTTGCAAACTCTAGGTGTGGTGGCAGCCATTTTTCATTTCCATTGTGCTTTTGAGATTTGGATGAGGATAGAAAGCAACACAGGGTGTGCTTTGTAGAGTGAGTCGCAGGCTCAACCTGTTAATCTAGATGACGCCACCAAACCTTTTATAGTTTGTTCTTTGCATTGCCTGTCAACCTCATCAGGCCTAAGATTCCTCATATTCCCGTCCAATGCTTTCATTTAAGTGCTCATCTCCTTGCATTGCCAAAGCTCAGCCCTGGTTCCAAGGTTAGTTATATCAACCAGTATGATGCACTGGTTCCCTTCAAAGCAAGGTGAACGTTGATTAGCACACTCCATCCACCCAGTCGTCTTTGCCCTCAAATGCACTATCGACCCCCACTTAATGTTGAGTTGACCCCCCCAACCATTATTGTTGCCTCTGCATCTCAGCATGTTGCTTCCAATCCCCACCAGTATACCGCCTCTAATTTGCACATTATAACAGTAACCCTGATTAATGACCCCTCCCCTCGATTTTTAGTGAGCAAACCTGCAGAACTGCCTGTTGCCACCTTCTTCTACTATGACTATAACTATGTTCTCACTCAAGCACTAAAACTTACCAATGTGTTTGAACATAATCACTCTCTTACACTCAGAGATAGCAAGAACTGCAGATGCTGGAGTCAGAGACAACACAGTGTGGAGCTGGAGGAACACAGCAGGCCAGGCAGCATCATAGGACCAGGAAAACTAATATTTCGGGTCGGGACCCTTCTTCAGAAATGGGGAGGGGGAAGGGAGCTGGGAAATAAATAGAGAAGGGATGGGGTTGGGGAAGATGGGTGGGATGGTGATAGGTGAATGCAGGTAGGAAGTGGTGGGGATTGGTCAGTGGGGTGGGTGGGGCAGATAGGTGGGAGAGAAGATGGACAGGTTTGTCTGGTCAAAGAGATGGGGATGAGAGGGAGGGTTGGACATGGGATGAGGCCATAGGTGGGGAGATTTTGAAACTGATGAATTCCATGTTTAGGCCTTCGGGCTGTAGGCTCTCAAGGTGGAATATGAGGTGTTGCTCCTCCAGTTTGCGGGTGGCGTCATTGTGGCACTGGAGGAGGCCCAGGATGGACGTGTCACCCAGGGAGTGGGAGAAGAAGTTAAAATGGTTGGCGACTGGAAGGTGGTGGTGTTTTTTGGTAAAGAGCGCAGATGCTTTGCGGAATGGTCTCCGAGTCTATGCTTGGTCTCACCGATGTAGAGGAGGCCACATCGGGAGCAGTGGATATAGTAGACCAAGTTGGCAGATGTATAGGTGAACCCCTGTTTGATATGAAAGTTTTTTGGTTTGGTATAATCTGTAAATTCAAACTTGCCAATTTTTCTTTCGTAACTAGATTAGGCAGAGTACAAATTAAAGATATAAATAAAAAGTGCTCTCTTAGGACCAGTTAGTGTGACTTTGTTTCAAATGTATCAAAGTTACTCCTGTTTCCGTAATGTGGACTTTTTTGTCCATTCATTTCACAACCGTTCCTGTACCCTTTTGTGAATAATGGCCACTGCTTTATAGAAATGTGTGGAATGTTGATCTGAAGACTCCTTTTAATAATCAAAAGTAATTTTTTGCTCCAACTTAATTCGGAAGCATAACAAACTGAGCGTTCAATGTTTAACAACAGAAAAAGGTCAGATTTAAATAAAGAATTTAGAAATTGAGAAAAGTTGACTGTTCGATCATTTGACAGGATTGAAATGACTGGACCTGTCCAATAGTTCAGTTTGCAGAGGAGGAAGGGATACACCTTTCACTGAAAATTTACTGTGCTATTCACTTAGAATATATAATCTGTATGTTTTTAATTTTAGGTGTGAAGAAATGTCAATTTGTTGGAAGTGCAATATTTGTCTTGGATGATACTGTAAGTTCAGGGCTATGTTTGTTTTAGGATAGAATGTTTTACTTAATACTTTTTTTTCTTTAAATTCTAACTTGCTTTCATTTTGGTTCAGAATTTTCTCAGTATGTGGGATGCATATGCTTTTGTAATGGTCTGGTACTGGCCATCAGTTCACATCCAGGATTTCTTGCTGACAGCAGAGGGAGATTCTTCTGCCATTAACAAGTAAGGGAACTTTTGACCTATTATAATAAAACAACCCTTTCTTCTTTTATAATCTTAGGTGTTTATTTTAACTTGACAACTTCCTTCGATTGTTTACTTTCCATGGAAATGGATTTACATTTAGCAGATTTGCCGGAAAATTTAGGGAAGAATTGAATATTTATAACATGTTTAAAAACTACTTATTTTCAACAATATCTTAATTGGATCAGTTTAAGTACAAGTGAAATGAACTGGGAATGCAACTGAATTGTGTGTATAGATTGCACTTCCTGAAGCACTCACTTTCTCTGTTCATTTCCATTCACAGCATTTTGATAAGAACTGATATTAGTATAAAACTGGGCTAAATCTTACATTTTTACTGGCTAACTGCCGGTGTTGTTGAGTTTCATGGAGGGTTTCTGTTCGTGAGCCCTAGTGCGTTTTCTAACTGCATCTTACTAAATTTGCCGCATTAACTATTGACGTCACTCCTATGGCACCCCCACATCTGATTTTAGCTCCACTCTACCAGTTGACTGGAACAACTCACCATTGTCGGGATATCGCAGAATAGATTCTCTTCTCTGGTATTGGCATCATCTTTTAAAAGGACATTACAAACCTGGACAAGTGTTGATAGTCTGGAACAACCCTGCACAGTTCCTGACATTTTCTCCACCAGATTTGGTAGAGAAGTGAAAATTAGCATCCCGCTTTGCCAGCAGGACCTAGGACCTAGAAATCCTGTTTAATTGGGTGTTGCAGAGACAGGACATCCTCTTTTCCCAAACCAGGCAAGGAAGCTATGACACCAGACTACAGCTAGCCTAGTCCAAGTTAATGCAATCTCAGCCATCTGGAAAAATGAGAGATAACAAGATATAGAGCTGGATGAACACAGCAGGCCAAGCAGCATCAGAGGAGCGGGAAAGCTGATGTTTCGGGCCTAGACCCTTCTACATCTGGAAGAATGGTTTGAGGAGCTAATTGGAGTGGGAGTGTGTAGGTAGGTGATGAGCTAGTTACCCACCATGTTGTAAGTGCCCTCACCACTTAAAACAAAACTACCTGGCAGGGGGCAATAAAGTCCAGTCTGCACCATTCAGCTCCATAGAAAATCTTCTGCAGTATGTTTGCTTATTATCTGCACATATATAATATATTCATTCTCTGTTTATTGTCAATGGTAAGTTGTGCATTCCATCCATGCAAACTACCATTAGGAGAAGAACTTACAGTTGCAGAGGCTTCAAGCTCTAGAGTTCCCTATTTATACCCCTTTTAAGCTTTGTGGCCATACAGCAACCCAGACGTTCATATGCAGTCCTAGCACAAGTCAATCCTTTAAGTTGTGTGGCCATGCAATGAAAAATGTAAGGGCCAAACACTTGAACGAAATGCACACAACAATAAAATGCCCTCCAATCCTCCACTTTACTCTCTTCTTAAATCCTACCCTTTTGACCAGCTTGCAGTATTGATTATTTCTTTCTTCACTTCTCCTATTGTTATCAGAGAAGCAATCAGTTTTAATTATTAATTTTATCTCCTCGTAGACAAGGAAATGCAAACTTGAAACTTGTAGCTCTGACAACTCCAGTGAATAAGCAGGTAAGGCTTTTCCTTCCAGATACAGACTGGTTCTCCTCATGAATTGTTGTTTCTATTGAGCAGAGCTGTAAATTTCCTGGATTTAAGTCATGCAAATCTGTTTAGAATGATATTTTTATGTTCAGAATGTTGGAGTTTTAGTGTTAATTTAAGGTTTAGTGCAAAGTATTTGTTTTCTCTTGGCTCCAGTAGATGGGTGTAATAAACTATTAATATTATATAAACTAGACTAATCTTTGATTTTTTTCATAGATGAGAAATCTTTTGGTGTATTCATTTCCAACAATGAAGCTGCTGTACTCCCTGGAAGTGGCAGATATTGCAGCTCTGGTTCAAACTGATGTTGGTCAGGTAGGAGATAATCAAACGTACATCTTCGATGATCTGGAAATATTTGTTCACTTTGTGAAATAAATTATAATAAAATGATACGTTAGTTTAAGAAATTTTAAGTTGTTACCTTCTAAATGTTCAAAACTACTATTTAGTAACAATGTGAGAAAGGATAATAGTGAAATCGCTCAGGCAGTTGAGTTTTTAATCATGTTTTGATGTGATGTCGTGATTAGCAGGCATTTTGCAAAATTATTCACTGTACTATTAACATTTTGCTGTTTGTTATGATGCCTTTTATTATATGTTTAGAAATAACCTCTCAGTTCTTTAGCTGCAAGATTACAGGTTAATATTGGAATTAAGTTTTGCTGGCATGGCTAAACTTTGTGGAGAGAAACACTATTTGTTCCTTCATTTGCTTCCCTGCCTTCCTTCTCTATAGCCAGTGGAGCTGAGATCCAGGATCTAGTGGTATGACAGATCCACATTTGTGTCTTGCCAGGCAATGTTTCAAGTCATTTCAGCATCAATGATCACTTACCTAAAATCTGTTCAAGTATTGCTTTGATGACTCACTTGTACTGTTTCTGATATAGGATACAATATATATTTTGGAAGGAGTTTCTGAAAATCAGAAAAGGTATAATAAATTTACCGCTTAAAAATATTAAAAGTCTTTCATGCTATATTACAATTATGTATTGTAAATTGAGTAAAAATATATGCATTGCAATTGTTGTTATATTTTATCCCATTGTATTTAAACCTCATTTGCAAATCAAATTAAATCCAGTTATTTCCAGGTAGTTATTTCATGTTTTCATAACTTACAGTTCACCTAATGGAATCATTTGTACAATAGCCATGAGATGTTTAACAGAAGCACTGCCAGAAAACAGGTAAAGAGTAAACTGTACAGGCTAACTCACGTCACTGTGAGAAATTATTTAAGTCGAACTCTCATTCTTCCAGCTATAATCAGACCATTTTGCTCACTGTCCATTATTAGTGCGATTGATTTGATGCTGTTGTTCTTCTGTCAAAGATATTTTTATTTTTCATGTTTCCAATTTTTGCACATTCCTCTCCTTCATACTATTAATCTTTACAGTGTGGAGCTGGAGGAACACAGCAGGTCAGGCAGCATCAGAGAAGCAGGAGAGTTGACATTTTGGGCTTAGACCCTTCATCAGGACTTGGGAGGGGGAAGGGAGCTGGGAAATAAATAGTGGGAAGAGGGATGGGGCTGGGGGAATGTAGGTGGGATGGTGATCCCCAATGGCTTCCAAACAACGTTCAGTACGCAACCGGCTCATCCCCAATGGACTCCAAACAACGTTCAGCTCCCACTTTTGACAAACT